TTTCAATTTGCATCTATTTCAAGACATTTGTCTTTTCACTTCACTCTGCCTTGCACTGTCTGTGAGACCGAAACGGTGGCGCTCGTCAGTGTGTAGAATCGACGCTGTCTTTTGTACCGAATTATTTTAACTTTACGAAAAGTTTCTCCCCTAGTTGTTAGGGTGGTTGAATAAATGCATCGATTACGAAATACGCATTCGTCGCTCCTCATCAGAAGTGTTTTTTTTTGATATCTTCGCTGCAGTCCGTGCTAGGAACAAATGTACGACGCGCGTGTTACACCTTCATGACGGAGTTGTTGCAAGACTACCGGGAATTTCTTTTACCCGTCACTTCCAAAGACAAAGAGTTGCTTTTCGACTCTGAAGGTGCGTACATTTACCGTCTCAAGACTGCTGTGCGAGAATCGGTAACCTGGACGCTTTGTGTTGCCTGGTGTGATTCATCCTTGCATTGCTTTGTGCCCTGTCCGACATGTGTTTTAGCTACTTCAACGCGGAATGTGATCGCATGCTAGTCGAGACAGTACTTTACGTCAATGTATCTCGAGTTTTGTGAGCAGAAATGAAATGTAGACAGGATATTTGCATTCCAAATCTCTCCTCCTCAATGCTTGCGTAAAACTCGTTTACATAGACAACCATTCCAAAGTATACTGAGAATGTCGTATGTTTTGGTGTTTTAAATCCATTTGAATGGCTTTTCTTAACTTATCTTGCAATTTCTATGTATTTCAACTATTTATCATGAAAGTAACTCTAGCAATACTTTTCTTTACAATCACAGACGTAAAATTAAAAATTTTGAGACCAAATAGCTACCGTTTCGTTGCTTTCATTTTGAACAACCTGTTGACAATTTTGAATGTACGCATGGAATGTTTTTGCCTCTCTTTCAAAATCAAAACTTGACAGCGTTTTGTTCAATAGTGTTCCAACGATGTGTTCATGTGTGTGTAGGATTCGTGAAGCACACGGCAGATCGCACGTCAAACGCCTTTTACGCAGCGCTGGTGGGAACACAGTTGTGGGCGGATTTTGTACGAGATCTCAACTGCATCAGCGAGCGAACTGCTGAGCTGGAAGCCTTCGATAACGCTATTTCTCGTCTCCGTCTCAACCGCGACCAATTGAGGGCTAAAAGTGGCAACAGTCGTAGCGCCGGGGGTAGTGGGGTTGAAATTTCAGGAGGTGGAGGTGAGACGGGTTCTCAGGTCTCTAGCGGCTCAGGTGGCGACGCCGGCAGCGCTGCTTCTGCCCCTCTCAACGGTTTCTCCACTTCTCCTCGGGGTAGTCTCAGTGGTACTGATGGCAGCAGTCTTGGAGGCCGTCCTTTGCCTCCTAGGTCTGTATCATTCCATCATGGCTTACTCAAATCGTTCAAATAGTTTTGCGACACATTAAAGG